GTTGGGACTACTTTCATGGCTAACATTTTCTTGTTTAACAAACAAGTATGCATTTAAAGAAATGCACCTATTGTAGTGAGTTTACATTTAAATCAAAGGTTCTTCACAAATAGTTGTAGCCACTTAATTGGTTTAACTATTTCATATTTTTTTTGATTTTTTGGTGCACTACTAAAACCTGTGGCTGCGCAGTCCTGCAGGTGTATTGTGCACTTCATAGCTGCAAACTGCTGCAAGTGTCAATTAAGCTGCATATACCCAGAGATTGTTTTCATTATGAAGATGACATGGACCAGTTTTCAAGTGTTAGCAAGGCTTAATTTCTGAGATATTAAGGTTTTTATTTTTAGTGAGTCTCACTTGGCTGCACACAGAACCAAACCCTTAATGGATAAAAGTTATGTAATTGATCCAAACAAGATGTGTTTGGAAATACTGATGCCCCCATATGGCAGCTTATGGCGAAGGTTAAAGTTTCTCAAATGCAAGTCAAAATCCAGGCCAAAAGATAAAAAAGATACCCAAAGAAAGGTCTTGTCTCGAGGAATATACCTGTGAAATTTGAAAGCCCTAGCTGCAACTGTTCAAAAGTTATGGCCAAGGTTAAAGTTTTTTAAAAGTAAGTAAAACATCAAGGTCAAGGTCAAAGTTGTTGGTATCCAAAGGAAGGTCTTGTCAAAAGGATTACATATGTGAAGTATGAAAGCCCTATCTCCAACCGTTCAAAAGTTATGACCAAGGTTAAAGTTTTTCAAAAGTAGGTCAAACTCCTAGGTCAAAGTCAAAGGGTCAAAGAGGTTGATATCCAGAGGAAGGTCTTGTCACAAGAAATACAAATGTGAAGTTTGAAACCCCAAGCACCCACTGTTCAAAAGTTATGGCCAAGGTTAAGTTTTTCAAAAGAAGGTCAAACTCCAAGGTCAAGGTCAAAAGGTCAAAGTTGTTGGTATCCAAAGGAAGGCCTTGTCACAAAGAATACACATTTGAAGTTTGAAAACCCAAAGCACCAACTGTTCAGAAGTTATGGCCAAGGTTAAAGTCTCTAAAAATTTTGCAAATTTGGTCAAACTCCAACGTCAAGGTCAAAAGGTCAAATATGATGGTACCCAAAGATAAGTCTTCTCACAAGGAATACACACATGAAATATGAAAGTCATAGCTCCAACCAATCAAAAGTTATGGGCAAGGTTAAAGTTGACAACAGACAGACAGATAAACAGACAGACAGGACAAAAACAATATACCCCCGGGACCTTTCGATCCAGGGGCATAAAAAAATCCCTTTATTATATTTTGCTAGTTGTAAAGGGGTATATAATAAATTTATCATTAATATAACAGTAACTTGATCCGAAGAGCCGTATCAAGTCTCGTTGACAGGCGCAGATCATCAGATCAAACTCGACGCTTTGTGTCTCATTTGATCTGATGATCCGCGCCTGTCAACTTGACATGAGACAGCTTTTCGGATCAAGTTACGGTTATAATAATATATATATATATGTATTGCCTTGTGAAAAGCTAAGTCATGCTTAAACGCTGCTAAGAGCAAGATTCACTAAAACATGAGTACTTAATATATCAAAATGACTCATAGAAGTCAGATCAATCACAAGTGGACTGTCAATCAATAACCTTAAAACATTTTTCAACAGTATAAAAGGAAGTATTTTTATTTCTGTAATTTGAGAGAAATTCTTTTTTGCAAAATTACCTAACAAAAAAGTTCCTCCCATATACTTTAAAACCTGCAGTTTAAAGTTATATGTGGCGTATCTGAGCTTGAAAAATAATAATACAAGATTGAGTGTAAATATACATGATATTTGTTATTTATGTTCAAATTAAAATTTTCACTGATTTTGAGCTTGAATAACCTCGCATTTCTATAGTTAAATTGACTGTAAATTATCTGTTATTTAAATGTGGAGTCGGTAAATAAATCGGTTATTGTTTTAAATTTTTGATATCTTTGAAATGCGATTGATTTATGGTAAATTGTGTAATTTACAGGAAAGTCCTATCTTTATATAAAGTAATAAAACAAATAGAAAGATCTGTTTAATTTTGGTTGCCTGAACTTACCAAAAAATATGCCATATATGATTTTAATGCACAGTTTTTATGTATGTGTGTGTGTGTTGTTTTTTTAAGAATTGCAGCCATTTTTTTTTTTACCTTATTATCTCGTCTAATGAATGGTACCATTTTGATTTTTCCCTATTTTGAGACTTAAAATTTCTTATTCAACTGTTAAGATACAGACAGCTATGATATCGTAATTCCCTAAAATTAATATAAAATTTATTTTCACTTCCGCTAACATCCAAAGCAGTCAGACTGTTTCAAGTTCAATAATATAGGCTGTCATATGTTGATGCAGGCACACGTAGTATCATTTTATAAAAGAGACAGTCAGAAAAAAATTGATAACTTACCTGAAAAAAAATACTTTGACAAGCAAAAAAAAGGAAATTGTCTAAACCCCAAAATTCTATTTCATGGCCGTTGGTACCATAGGTTCGAACTTTTTTCCATTAGCAATTTTATTAATTTTCTATGGGACAATTTAACTACACAAAAAGTGAGAGTAACGGATGGGTTCGCCCCGATTACATGTTCACTCCGAGTGGTTTCACCCCAATTATACTGTGACCTGTAATTAAAGGTGTCCAATTTTTCCACTTGTGCATATTGGCAGTTTGCTATGACATCTCCAATGTTTTATGGTTTTTGCATGTGAAAGGTAATTATTTTATTTAAAGAGATCTACATGGTACACCTACATGTACATGTATTTGATTACGTTTTTAATAAAGTAAATCTACTTAGAATCAAAATTTGAGAAAAAGATGAAGATTTTTGGATTAAAATTGAAACAATTAAACTAAACTTATATATTTTACATATCTTAACACAAATGAATTTAAAAGTTTTTTATTCCATGTTAGTGCCATCGTGATTATGTAAAGAAAAGTTCATATCATCTGTCGTTAAAATCGGAAATAAACATTTAGTATTTCAAGATCAACAACTCATTATTAACTTTAATTAAGTGCTCAATAATTATGTTAATCTAAACACTTAGTGATCAAATGACTTTTGCTTAAATAAACATCAAGTACACTGTATGATTGAAGAAAACAACTCGGGGTGAATCCACTCAGGGCGAACAGCGAAATGGCACGAAACCACTCAGCACGAACAGAGTTCCTGAAAACCAAATATTTCTATCAGTCATTCGGATTAATGACTTAACGTGTTCTACCAGTCCAAAGCAAATTCTATCAGTCCGAATAACTTCTAGTATAATTCATGATGTAATTCAAAAGAGTATGACACATGTCATTTCACCTGAAAGTATACATCAAATTGCTGCAGAACATCAACGCCATCCTAACTGGACCTTGAAAGTACTCAATTTGAGTATGTAAATGTACAATACCAATTATGAGACAATGCAATAGATCAGAGGACGGTTAGTTAGAATAATCTAACTGTGTCTCAGGACAAGCCCTCACTATTAAAATACATCCCACATATCGAGAGTTGCAATGTAGCAAATCGGAGTGGATCCGTTCCGAAAAGATTTTGAAGAATACAAAAGGAGTTGTACTGGAAATAACTACTAAATTAATCATAACAAACCTTTTTGAGTCTGTATAATGTCTTTTACCCTAAAAAATAACCCATATAAAGACAAAAATTCAATTCATTTTCTCAACGTTTTTTCTTGCTTTGAATTTGTATGCCATGTTGACACTTGGAACACTCTAAATTATTCGTAGTAGTGTAGATCAGAATTATCTGCCCCTTTTTATTTTGCTACAATTGCCAGAAAGTAATCTTGCTAAAGGCTTTTTGAGATTACGACGAAAAGACAAAAACTTTACAGGTACAACGAATACTCAATGGATTGTTAATGCAGAAAATGATCAATCACGCAGACCGGTAACACAGTGAATTGCATCGGACATTTCAATTTTTCTTTCAGTTTTGCTGGTAGGACCGATGTGCGAACAGGTAAGAGGAGTGAAACCACCCGGATTCAAAGTGAGGGGGCCAACAGGCCTTTCAATGAAATTACAAAGAGTATTGCAGTCTTGCGAAATTAACGCCTGTCCAATGGTCCAAATCTATCTCAAATTGAATTGGGCTACCCCGATCCAAATTGAAACAGACCAAATTGTCTATCCCAATTTATTTTGGCCATGGTTAAAATGAGATTGAACAAGAATCATGAATGACATTTTGTATTTTTAACATGTAATTATAAACAAAATAATTGTGAAAAATAATTTAATATCTTATATTTTATGTAAAAAAATTGTTAAATCTTTTTACTTATTAATTTATAACATCGTGCATCTTACGATGTATTAGCGATGTACTATTTTTACCCAATGCTCGCTGTTTGTGTATAACGGCATTAAAACACAAACTGAATAAAAATTAAAAGACAACAAAAAAAAAATTGAAAATAGAATAATGAATCTGAAAAAAGGGAAAGCTACAAAGATGAAATGGTACATTTGGGGGGGGGGGGGGTGAAATGCACGAACACTGATTAAATATTTAATTTTCACTAGCCTAGGTAATAATGAAAATATAGCAGATACTTCAATAAGCATATAAATGAATAAATAAAATAAAAAATAAATTTATTAACAAAAACAAGTGCACTTTTTTTTTTCAAGTTTACTTTCTGTGGACAATCCCATTTTTCTACAGTCTATCCAAATTTAAAATGAGATAGTCCAATGGGCTATTTCTTTCTTCAGGTTAGTTTACCACACCGGTATTGCAAGTGTCTGACATTACTGTCATATATACCAGCAGCAGAGTTTTTTCGAACTACTTCATTACTACTTTGACCTTGACCCTAATATTGAGCTGGTGGGTTGCCACCTACATCCCGCATTGATAACAGTGAAGATCATTGTGTTCATGGGTAAACTATACTACAAAAATAAGGGCCCACCTTCAAAACATTGCCTTACCTATTTAAAATTTCTCAACAACAGAATATAGCTTCAAAAGAACACCATTATTTCTTGCAGTATACTAGTTCCCTCTTCCAAAAAAATATGGCGACCAAACTTAAATATTCAAACCCGTTCCGAAAGAGTAAAAATTCCGGAAATTATTATATTTCATTTATATTCCGAAAATTATTGTATTTCATGTTTCAAAAAAACTTCTTTAACCTCAGATAATGTTACCTTTTTATGAACGTTTATTTAAAAATAATATGTATATAATATAATCGAATCAAAGTAAAAAATAATAAATTTTAGGAACAAAATCTTAACTTCCCTAGGATTACCCAATCCACACTTCTTAACCGGAAGAGCAACTGTTGAGTGGGAATTTTGAACAATAAGTGAATAACAATGGCAGACTATAGTCACTATATCGATGGACATGATTATATGCTGTATTTACCTAATGAACGACTAAAGACGTTCAAAAATTGGCCACTTGGTGAAAACTGTAATTGCACTCCGCAAAAGGTATAGATCTACTGGATTGTAAGGCAAAGTTGAGTGAAAACCTATCAAGCTATTCTTTGGAAATAAATCAAAAAGTTTGACATCATCTTTACTTGATCGAAAGATTGTCATACTCTATGTTCTCTACAACCAACGATTTCATAATTATTTCCCACTGTTTATGTTTTTTGTAGTTGGCTGAAGCAGGATTTCATCACTGTCCTACAGAAGGTGAACCAGATGCAGTGCGATGTTTCTTCTGCATGAAGGAGTTAGATGGATGGGAACCAGATGATGATCCCTGGTGAGAACAACAACAAAAAAATAGACAATATTCACATGCAAAAAATAAATTTACTGAAATAAGAATAATACATTAAACAGATTATTTTAGCTTTACTGGTCAAAAACAAGATGGCCTTGCACGCAATAATCAGGTCCAGCACAATTAATCTCTTGATTTAGCTATATAGCTATATAGCTTGAAAAAGATATACAGCTTTAATAAGCTATTCAAAGTAGCTTAATAAAGCTATTTATGTGCAGTTTTTCAGAAAAATGTTTTTTGTAAGAAACAGACAAAAAGTCACAAGTATTTGACTATTGAAGTATTCATATATGTACTATGGGCTATCAAAACAACAACTGAAATCAAAGATAGTTCTAACATTGCAGCATTTGAATACTTTTAAGCAAAAGATGAATTTCCATTGTTTGAGTAACTGTACACTACCTTGTGTGCATTGAGGCATGGATAAGTATGATTGCGTCTCATTGTACTGAGTTATTACCAATCAATTATCTTGTTGACCACAATTGGCCTCTTTTATAATTTCAATGAAGAAGTAACTGTATCAATTGCTTTATATAGCCCCAAAACTTTTAGAACTTTGAGTACAAAGTCTCTAAAGGAGACACAATTTGATGAGTGATTTTTACATGCATTATTTTCAGAAGAGTTTAAGGTTGAATATTATCACTGCACCAAGGTGCGACTTTTTGTGCATGCTGAGAAAATGACACATTTAAGAATTCAAAAAAGTGTGATAAAATAGCTAAATCAAGCTATTCTTAATAGCTTAATAAAGCTATATCAGGCGCGGATCCAGGAATTGAAGTTAGAGGGGGCGCCAAAAGTAGGCAGGGGGTCTGGGGGCCGCCTTGAGGCCCCCAGTGGGTCCAGGGCGAAGCCCTGGTGGGGGCCCAGGGGCCGAAGCCCCCGGAAGCTCCTGGATTCTAGAGATTTTGTAGAGTAAAAATGCGGTCTACCGAATGGACATTTTTACATTTTCTTGACGAAACTATGATTTATGCTAACTTTGACAATTTTAAGGGGGGGGCGCGCCGGGTGCGCCCCCCCTTAAATCCGCCACTGTATATAGCTAAATCAAGCTATATAGCTAAATCAAGAGATTGTGCTGGACCTGATAATAAACAGGTTGGGACCAATTGCCCAGATGGAAAATAATAATCCCAACAATTAGGATATTATATCCCAAATGGATTATTATATTCCATTTGGACAATTGGTCCTAACCTATTAAAGTGTAGGTTTTCTGTCCCTCTGTTAGGCTATCTTCCAAAATCCTACGCTTGCTGTAGTTTTTTTTATGTTTTACTTAATTTCTCATTTGCCAACTTTATGCTTGATTTTCTAATAACATATAATTAAATTTCAAATTTAAACTTTTTTTGTAGTATTAGAATTTTATCATTTTCAACATAACACTATCAATATCAAGTAACTAAACATGATGAATCAAGATTCAATTGAATTTAGTCACTAAAAAAAGTATTGTAATGAGTAAATCAATTAAATGCTGTAAAAGTAATACAATGCAGTGGTTTCAATTTCACTATGTTTGCAGTCAGAGAATTTTTCGTAAGCAATAAGCCACCATGAATATTGTCACACTAACAATATAGCATTCATATTATCTATACACTTTATTATTTAAAAGCCGGTTTTCCTATTTTGTAGTAGGGAAATATTAATTCATTGAAAATCATAAAATAACCCTGGGTTATAACAATGGCAGAGTTGGTTACTAGATGTATTTGTTTTGAATATTTCACCATAACTTTATTTTAAAAGAATCATTCATACAATTGCAAATATTTAGTAATGAGAAATTCAATGACAGTGAAATTAAAACCACCGTGAAATGTACAAAAATAGAAAATTGTGAACTATTAAACAGAAATTAAAGACGTTTACAGTAAATTGGCTTGGGGACAACTTTTACAGACTACCCAACAGTAAAATATTGATCTCATAATAGACCAGATGCATTTTTTGTTTATTTTGTAATGTGATCTACTGTAAATTTCATGCACCAAGTCCATAGATAACTTCCATCTTTAGCCATATTTTCAAAGTGTTAAAATGAATGTAATTGTTGCAGAAGAGAAGATGGTTTCACCTATAATAAGTTAAATTTAAATTCATAAATTACTCAGGAAATTCACAATTACTTATACTGATACATGTATATGATAGGACTGTTCATATGCCAAGTATGCAAGTATTTAATAGTATTAAATTTACTATTTAGGGCTGAACATGAGAGTCATTCACCAAAATGTCCTTTCCTACTGATTGGCAAGAAATCTATTGCATCTTGGACAGTTGCAGAATTATCAGATCTTCATCAAAAGAGCATGGAAAACAAAATTGTAAGTTTTTCAGAATCCTTAGAACAAGTTAAACAATTTTCCCAAAAAAAAAAAACAAAGATATTTTAAAAGAGACAGAAAATGCACTTTTAATTTAAATCAAGAAATTTTTCTTTTCATTATAGAATAAAATTATGGACATACTGATTGCCACCTACAGAGAGAAGATGAAAACTAAAAGGTTAGAGATCCAGCGGCATTTCAAGAAAAAGTAGTGTCAGTAATTATCCTTACGTTCACATTCTGCCTGATGGATACCCCATGGGTATCCCCATCATTTCTGACATTTTCATTACTATTCAAAATTTTGTTGTAAAAGAACATATTAGAGAGAGAGAGAGAGAGAGAGAGAGGAAGTTGATCAGCTTGTGTATGAGAGTAAAATCAAACTTAAGTACATGTACATTGTTTTTAAATGAATAAAAGATATTTACCTGTTATTATAATATTTTATTTCATTAGGTTAATATTTTATCAGAAGAGTTTGTGTTAAGGTAATGAATGAATTGGGAAGAAGTGACAGGATGAGAAAAGAAAAATTATGCCCAGTATTCGCATGGGACAAGCATAGAAAACCCTAACCACTCATTCTTTTGGTACATGCCTTGTCTAAGCTTAATACAAATTGAATGTTATAAAACTCGTATTTGCCTCTAGATGACAACATATACAGTAATTTTAGAAGGGTTCCACAAACTAGTGCTAGAACAGATTACCATGTGCATTCAGTGTCTCTGAATTTAATAACATTTTTCTAATGATTCTCTTTAGAATCTGATTTTTAATTACTAATGCTGCTTTATGCATGTTTAATGACATGCATATTTTTTGTGGAAAAAAGTGGTAACAGGTAGTAGGCACCAACTGGTTCCTTATCAAAAACATTTCGTCGCCAGTGCAAGTTTTTAGTTGCCAAGGCAAATGTTTCTTAGGCGCCAATTTAAAAACCGATATTAGTCAATATATAGAGACATATCCATTGCTAAATTTTAAACTTTTTTCTGCTCTCTATAAACAAATATTTGAAAATGTTTATAGTTCAGTAATTTGATGATCACCAAGTCAATTTAAAATGGTCGCCACTTTGGCAACTTGTAGGAAAATTTTAGGTGCCAATCATAATTTCTAGGCACCATGGCGACTAAATTAGTCGCCAATTAGAGCCCTGGGTAGCATAACATTTTAGGCAATAATGGCAGCAGTTACTTGTCTTCTCTGATACCAGATGGAGTCATTCAAAGAAACATTACAATACCCTGTACTGAAAAGTCCAGTAACTCATATAAGTAAAAATATATTTATTAATAAACTAACTTACAGGCATATAACATTTCTGTAAATATACAATGTGCTAACTACTTCCACTGTCTCTGATGTTGTAGTTTCTAGGCTTGGTGGATTTCTGGGGACCTTTTCTGGAGGTTTTGGGGGATTTTATAGAGGAGGGTTTGGGTTCAGGTTTAGTTCTCTGGTGTATCGTGGGTTGTTTCCCTTTTACTGTGATTTCATTGGATGAATCTTCATCAGAATATTTTCTTGATTTCTCTGAAATAATTTTAAGTCTGAATCTAATCTGGTAGAAACATGTATAAAAGAGTAAATTTTTAAATACACATCTGTACTAGTAATATTTTGTGCATTTAAAATAAGAACACAGTAAATTCACAAATGCAAGATTTATGAAAAGAATCGGAGGCATTGTCAGTATAAAATTTATTTACCAGAATGAATGTATGAGCACATTATACCAAGAACATACATCAAAATGGAAATTAAAACCAGGAAATCATAGCTTGATTGATGTACCAAAGGTAATTCAACTAACCTGACTTTTCGGGATATCTGGGAGTGGTAAATGGACTAGGAGTGGGGCGGTCTAGCATCCTCCATACCTCCTCTAAAGACTCTCCACCAGCTGAGGACATTGTAACTAATAACTGATCCCTGTCCTCCAGATTTGAGTTCAATGACTGCTCCCTATCATCAAAACTTCTGATAAGTGGCCCCTCTCTACTGAATCGTACAGGACTGATAGGCCTATAAGTGTCATTAAGAGTGTCCTGACTTTCTCTTACAGAATGAACTGGTTGATCTCTGTTAGGACCTAAACAAAATAAAAATTATATATGGTATACATGTATGTGTATTTTTATACCTTTTTGAGTGTGCAGAATATATATGTCTCATGTTGACAGACCTCCATTTCAATGAAAGCAAAAAACACTACACAGAATATTTACTGCACCTGGTGTCTTCTACCTATTCCCACTTTTTAAAAATCTCAATTCCACCTATTCCCACTTGCAAATAACAATAGATGTTTAGATACTAGTTAATTTGTTTTTAAAGTAATTAGACTAATTACGTCCCATCTTAGATTTACCTGTATTTTGTACATTTTAAGACAGAAAATAAATAGATTTATGAAAAAATGATTTATTTCAATTAATATTTTTTAGAAAATAAAAAGTTATTTAAAAATACTTTAATATCTTGATTTTTTTTAACATAAAATATATAGATTCATGAAAAAATGCATTATTAAAATTTTACCTGAGGCTTGAAACATAAAATTTTCAGATTAACAGAGTTCTGAAAATCTGAAATGACAAGACTTTTTCATCAGGTTAGATTTTAATATGAAAGATTTTGCCTAAATAAATGCAGAGGGAGAGTTATTCCCCTTTAATCTCATTTTCTCACCAGCATTAACAACTGAAGAACCTAGTTTTAAAAAACCAACCAATATTAGATGCCCTTTTCAGTATTGAGGGTGGTCTGTATTCCTGGTCAGATTCTGAGTTATTGCTATTTCTGTTCTGTGGCTCTGGAAACTTCTGTGCAAACTGAAGTTGCTGTAAGAAAACAAGGCAATTAATGAATACCTGTATAATAGCAGAATACTCTGCATTCTAAGTGTTGTTTCTGGCCAATTCAGTATCAAACATTAAACAAATAATTGAATGACACTAGATCATTTTTGCATTTGTTAACTTTTCATAGCCTTTCCAATCACTTTAGAGATTTGTTATTTTTAGCAAAGCATGTATATGCAGTAAAACTCAGTTATAAGGAAGTCACTGAGACTTTGGATTTTGCTCCCTTATAAGCAAGATTCTTTATATCTTTATGAGGAATATAGTACAAAGTCTTTTGCAGAAGTCTTCCCTATAATTGAGATTTCTTTATAAGGGAGTTCTTTATAACTTAGTTTGATTGTATCTTTATCTGCTGCTAATGCTCTAAAACTTCTAGTAGATTCAACTTCTTACCTGTTTTGTAAGTTCATATTGCAGTTTCTCGAGTTGGGAGAGTTTGCTGAGGAATTGCTGAGACAGCTGCTGTGACATTTCATTATTGTTCACTTTCTGGGTTGGGAATACAGGCTCTGGTCTGTCTTGCAGTGCTGCTGGTGGTTTAATCCCTAAAATGAAAGTTTGTACATCATGGAAACAGGAGCAGGAATGCATTAGTTGAGATATGATGCTTTACTAATATATGCAGGTGGTTGATCATTGTTCAAGATGTTGTAATAGTGTTTATTTATGTGAGGGGAAAATTGACTCTAGTCAAACAGTAAGCTTAAAACCTAATTAATTTCCCCAGCATGTTAGGAAAATATCCAAGCTCTAAAGACATCTTAAACACAAAATTCATGACCCTGTATTTTACACGATGTGTGATGTTTGTCTGTAAAAAATGCCTTCTTAGCCCCCAGCATAAATAACCACTTTTACATAACATTGCTACTTACCCTCCCTGTTTAACTCAGCACGCAGCTTGTTCCCCATCTCTATAAGCTGCTGTCTCTCCTTGGCAAGCTGAGCTACGTGCTTGGCTGCTAACTTAAGTTTATTCTTTAATTCCTGTACCACAGCACTGTTGTTTGTTGTTGCACTGTCTGTTGTTGATGCCTGAATGACTCCCTTTCTTAAATTCAGTATTTCATCTTGCAGCTGCTGAATGACCAATTCCTGTAAATATAATTACACTAGTACATGTATAAAATATTAAAAAGCCCTCCATCATTTAATTCCCCTACATGTATATCAAATATATGATTTTTCATGTTTCAAATATTTCATTTCAGAATACCTGTGCACCAAAGTTTAACTCTGGTCTTTTTTCTGCAAGCTCTACTTTTAAATTTGATATCTGCAAAACAAAATAAAATAAAGACATTTTCCACTTATATTGACAATACATGTAAAGACATTCGGCAGAAATTAATGTTTGAATTTCAAAAAAGTGAACTTTGTAAAAAAATTAATATATTGCATCCAAATGCTTTCAATGCCAGGAACTGTAGATTTTTTTTCACCTGTTGCTGGAGTGAGGTGACCTCCATGTTTTTTTCTAGAGTTGCTCTGTAGTATTCATCTGCCTCTTTCCGAGCCTCCACCAGCTGAATTTCCAGTTCAGCTACTCGCTGGTTAAGAGCACCTATCTCTGATTGGTCCCGCCTCCTCTGGGCATTCAACTCATATTTCAACTGGTCAATTTCAACCTGTTTCTGTCTTGGCTGCATCATTTCAATAAAAAAGGTAATGAGGATTAGAACTTGATGAGATAATTTATAAAATATATCCTTTTTATTGAAAAAAAAAATTAAGCTAAGGGTGAAAAAAACAAACCTCTTTGTTGAGTTTTTCTACCATGCCTTCTAAGTATTGCATTCTAGCCTGTTGTTTCTTCAACTGGGCAGTCATTTCAATTTTTTCAGATCTCATGGCACCTAAAATAAATCAATCTTGACAATGACCTACCATGATTACTCTATTAAAGTTAGTTGTACATGTACATCCAATCTCAGAGAACAAGTGTGGATACATGCATTCTTATATTCATTAAAATAAAAGCAATCTAGTGTGAATAAAAATAGACTGCTTACCAATCTGGTCATTAAGTGACTGTATATGAGAAAGAACTGCTGAATTGTCCTTGACCTCTGCTAATACTTCCTCTGTCTGTTCTGAGCTAGATGGAGCCACAGGTGGTGCTCTGCCATACTTCCTGTATGTATCCAAATCATGTTCAAGTTCTCTGTTTCTCTTCCGGAGAGCTCTGGCCTCATTTTCTAAGCTTTGAACATATTCTGTCAAGAATCCCAAATATGAAATTAATCTTATTTAATAAATGAGGTGAAAAGCAGAGTTTTTCAATCTATTAATGATTAATATTTACATCAGAAAACTTTTAATTAAGAAAAACATTCTACCATAAACAGAAATAATAAATGCCCATGAGCAAGATGAAAAAAAAGCCTATTACATGCATGCTTGAAAATTTAAATTAATAGTGTCATGCATTTGTATGACTTATAAGACAAAAGTTCTAAAAATAAATATTCAAGTTTTCATCCATCACTCAGTGAAAGATGCTATGCAGACAGTAAAAAAAAAATTCTGAAACAACGAAGATCTTTCCAGACCAGTGTATT